CAGCATCTTCTTTCATGCCACGACCAAGGTAGCGTTTGCAACAGTGCCCCTTTGCCCTTGAATTTGCGAATGATGCTTCCTGAAGGTGTCTCTTGGTATTGTTTAACATCTTTAGGCAATCTTCTTATATAGCCATTGCCCATTCCTGTGAAAGAGAAATCACCTCCTTCTCTTGTCTTCCTCGGACCATTCTCTTGCCTTCACCATGTTATGTAAACCACGACCACCAGTAAATGTCCTAGAAGGAGCTGAGTATCTGCACAGTCATTTTAAGAGCTGCCTAAGTCTGGTGCTTATTATGCTTGATAGTGCTGCTGCTCGTGGTGACAATCCACAGGTGTTTTCAATACCTGATGGAACAGCACCTGCGTATGAACCTCGGTACGGTCTTCAGATTGGGTAGTCCATTAAGGGGTCTTAGAACTAATTGTGGCAATGAAGAAACCACATAAGAACCATTATACTACAGTATTACACTAACAATTTTGATGTTCATATTATAGTTGCATTTGGCGTAGTTACAACGTCCTTGTAGGATTTGAATTCTGAATAGCAAAAATTCCAAATGGTACACTATAGTCCCAAAACCCCCTTTACACGCATTGGGTGCGGTTGAATAATTTTGGACATCTCAACTGTATATAATGATACAATGTAATAATCAGGGATAGTATAAAATGAATACAATGTATAATGGGATGTAAATAAAGAAATATCAATGTAAATGGTATGTATATAATCAGATAACAATGTATAATGGAATGTATATAATTTCTACACTGTATAGATAGGATGTATATAAAGATCACAATTATATAATGGTTGATGTATATAAATCGGTATAATAGGATGTGTATATAATGATAACAATGTATGATATAGAATGTTTTTTTATATAATGATACAATTGTATAATGGGATTATATAATTACATAATGTATAATGGAATGTATTATATGTAATAAATGATACAAATATAATGGGAATGCTATATAATGATACAATGTTAATAATATGGATGTATATAATGATACAATGTATAAATAGGATGTATATAATGATAACAATGTATAATGGAATGTTATATAATAATACAATGTATAATGGATGTATATATTGATATAAAGATACAATGTATAATGGGATGTATATAATGAACTGACAATGTGTATAATGGGATGGAAAGTATATTGAAACCAATGTATAATGGAATGTATATAATGATACAATGTATACATGGAAATGTATATAATAGATACAATGTATAATGGGATGATATAATGGATACAAATGTACAATAATAGGATGTATATAATGATACAATGTATAATGGGATGTATATAATGATACACCGCTTTCATGTATAATAGGAATGTAATATAATGATACAATGTATATACATAGGAATGTATATAATGATACAATGTATAATGGGGACATGTATAATAACAATACAATGTATAATAGGATGTATATAATGACATACAATGTATCTCTCTTCTCCATTCATAGAGAGAGAAAAAAAACAAGAGGGCCAGTTTGTACAGTGACTTATCACTGTGATAGCCAATCAGAGACTATCACAGCGATCATGTGACCCGGAATCGGGAGTCTTGGGTCCCGATAGTTAGAACGGGACCCGGGTGCTCTCACTGACAACCCCAGCGGTCTTTGTGCTGGAAGCGGCGCCACAGAAAAATGCCGAGTTCTGTGAGGTCACATATTTGTATTACGGCGGCGGGAAGGGGTTAACTTACATTAATGTTTTTTTTTCCAAAGGCTTTAGAGGGGTTGATTTAGTAATTTTAAAAAAATTGTTCACTTTGCAGGGGAAGTTGCTAGACGCAGCAGAAAGTTTTGCTTTGTCTTGGATGCATTCGTTAATTGTAAAAAAATGTATTTCATCATATTAGTTACATTGAGGGCTGATTCATTTTTTAAATTAGTTTTGCATCTTTGGCCTTCGCTTCGTATATTCGTTTGTACCGGAAGACTTTGATATTTTCGAATCAGATCAGAATTCATTGGGAAGAATAGCTGTTTGTTAAGGAGCAGGTGGCCACTTACTCCTTAGCAACCATGAGTCATCTGGATTCCCCGTCCTCCAGAGGATTTCCCCCCCCTTCCCGACCCGACCCACTTTTGATGTTACGGCGCTGCGTTCTTTTAACTGACAATTGAGCGTCATGCGACGCTGCACCCAAATGAAATTTACGTCCTTTTTTTTTTCCCATGGATTGAGTTTTCTTCTGGTGGTATTTGATCGCCTGCGCATATTTTATTTATTCAGCTATAAAAAGAGAAAATTCTAACAAATTTGAGAAAAAAAACAATATTTTTTTACTTTTTGCTATTAAACATATCCAGTACAAAAAACTGTAATTATCACATTTCCTCATAAATTTAGGCCAAAATGTATTCTGCTCTGTGTCTTTGCTAAAAAAAAAAATCCCAATACATGTAAATTAATTGGTTTACATGAAAATGATAGCGTTTGCAAATGGCGGTAATACCGTAGATAATGGGATTTTTTTCCCCTAGTAATGGCAGCGATCAGCTCACTTATAGCGGGACTGACATTCTGACGCTGGGGAGAACTGACTTTCACTCGGTGTACACTGACATCCCCAGTGACACCAATACAATGATCAGTGCTAAAAAAAAGCACTGACACTGTACTAATGACACTGGGCAAGAAGGGGTTAACATGAGGGGCGATCAAAGGGTTAACTGTGTGATGGGAGTGTTTTACTATGTTGGCGGGTCTCTGTGCTTCACTGTAATCACACTGCACTGGATGGCTGTGTTGTGCACAGCCATCCAAAGCAGTGTGCCCGAGCTGACAGGGAGGAGAACTTTTAGTAAGCAAAATAGTCCTCCTCCCCTGTCGGAGATGCTCCCAAGGCCGTCGGAAATCACCGGGCACCGCGAGTAATCACCGGCCAGGACTCAGTGATTGGCAGCCGCTGCCAGGAATGGCGGCGCGGATAGGGTAAGTGCCCGCTACCATGAAATGCAAAATCATGTATACATACGTGATTTTGCGCACACGTGCCACCCTGTAGCAGTATTTCTGCTATAGGGTGGTCAGGAAGCGGTTAAAACAAAACAAACAGCATTGGGGACTCCCCCAACCATTTCAGGCCCTTAGGTCTGCTATGGATTTTAAGGGGAATCCCACACTAAAATTAAAAAAAATTTACATGGGGTCCCCCCCAAAATCCACACAAGATCCTTATCCAAGCATGCAACCAGACAGGACAGGAAAGTGGGGGACAAGCGAGTGCCCCCCCTAGAACTATACCAGGCCACATGCCCTCAACATAGGGGGGTGCTTTGGAAGAGGGGATTCTTCCCCCCCCCACAAAGCACCTTATCCCCATGTAGATAGGGGAAAGGGCCACTTCTCCACAACCCTGGGCGATTGTTTTGGGGGGTCTGCCAGCGGGGGGGCTTATCAGAATCTGGAAGCCCCCTTTAACATCTAATGAATTCGAAAATCTGAATGAAACAAATGCATTTCTTTTATTCATTATTACTTGTTTTTGATTCATTGCCATTCATTTCTATGTCCATTTGGAAACTCAGATACATCAGGATCTCCGAAAATGAAAGCTGTTTCCAAACAAAAACCAAACGAATCAAAGCGAAACGAATCTCACATGTCTAGAAGTTGCATTCTGCAATAGAATTTGCCGCAGAGCTCAGTGAATGAAGTTGAAGCTCTGCTGACTTCCATCTTCCAATCAAAAATGCTGTTAGTTTTTTTTCTGGTTTTTCCTGGCGCTTGGTTGGGTATTCTTTTCAAGGTGACATTTTACCACCTTTACTAAGCTGTGGGGCAAATTCCCTTGTAAATTGCAACATCCCTTTGCGAAGTGAACAGCTTATTTGCCTTTAGTAACTCCCTCCCTCTGTATCACCGCTCCACCTCGTGCCTTCCCCTTTGGCCTACGTCGCTGGATAGGCAGCCCAATCTTTAAATTATAGAAAACCTAGAAGACTGATGGCAAAAAAAAGACCAAGTGGTTCATTGAGTCTACCTATTTTTTTTTTACACATTTTTAAACACTTTTTTTAACCCCTTCCTGTCCAGACACTTTTACCCCCTTCCCTTCCCCAGGCCAATTTTCAGCTTTCAGCACTATCACATTTTGAATGATAATTGCGCGGTCATGCAATACTGTACCCATATGAATTTTTTTCCATTTTTTTGAGACAGATAAAGCTTTATTTTGGTGGTATTTATTCACTGCTGGGATTTTTATTTTTTTTACTATGTAAATGAAAAAGTCCACAAATTTTGAAAAAAAGTGTTTTTTTTTATAAAACTTTGCAAATAAATAATATTTCATCATAAATCTTGGCCAAAATTTATTCCGTTATTTTTTTAGTAAAAAAAAAAATCCAAATTAGTTTATAACCAAAAATTATAATTTTTAAACATTTTTTTTTTACATTTTTATTTTATTTTTTTATATTATTATTTTTTTTTTTTTTTTTTACATACTGTCACCCTAGCAGTACAGTGTCACATGGTGACACTGTACTACTTGTGGGGGGTGATGAAGATTTTTTTTTTTTCTTTTACACTGATTGCTTTTACACCCATATAGGATGTAAAAGCAATCATTTCTCTTTCTCTCTGGCTGCATTCTTGCAGTCATTGAGAAGTACTGAGTGAGCTGTGATTGGTCACAGCTTGTCACATGAATGTTGTGAATGGCCCTGTACCAGTGACCTCTGTGACCTCTGTGATCATGTGATCATTTGTGTCCCAATCAGCAGTCTCTGTCATCTCCTGTACTATGTCCGCAGTCCCTGGACCATATCTCCTGTACTATGTCTGCAACCCGTCCCTGGACTGCCACCGTCCCTGTACTGTGTCCCGCTGTCTCTGGTCATCTCCTGTGCCCCCCCCCTTCCTGTGTCCGCAGTCTCTGGTCATCTCCTGTACTGTGTCCGCAGTCTCTCTGTCATCTCCTGTTTAAAATGTTCTGTGTCCGCAGTCTCTGGTCATCTCCTGTACTGTGTCCGCAGTCTCTGGTCATACATCCCCTGTATTGTGTCCGCAGTCTCTGGTCATCCCCTGTACTGTGTCACAAACCATGCAGTCTCTGGTCATCTCCTGTACTATGTCTGCAGTCTCTGGTCATCTCCTGTACTGTGTCCGCAGTCTCTGGTCATCTCCTGTACTGTGTCCGCAGTCTCTCTGGTCATCCCCTGTACTGTGTCCGCAGTCTCTGACCATCTCCTGTACTGTGTCCGCAGTCTCTGGTCATCTCCTGTACTGTGTCCGCAGTCTCTGGTCATCTCCATGTACTGTGTCTGCAGTCTCTGGTCATCTCCTGTACTATGTCTGCAGTCTCTGACCATCTCCTGTACTGTGTCCGCAGTCTCTGGTCATCTCCTGTACTGTGTCCGCAGTCTCTGGTCATCTCCTGTACTGTGTCTGCAGTCTCTGACCATCTCCTGTACTGTGTTTGCAGTCCCTGACCATCTCCTGTACTATGTCTGCAGTCCCTGACCATCTCCTGTACTATGTCTGCAGTCTCTGACTATCTCCTGTACTATGTCTGCAGTCCCTGACCATCTCCTGTACTATGTCTGCAGTCCCTGACCATCTCCTGTACTGTGTCGCTGTCTCTGACCATCTCCTGTACTATGTCCGCTGTCTCTGGTCATCTCCTGTACTATGTCTGCAGTCTCTGACCATCTCCTGTACTATGTCTGCTGTCTCTGACCATCTCCTGTATTATGTCTGCTGTCTCTGACCATCTCCTGTACTATGTCTGCAGTCCCTGACCATCTCCTGTACTAGGTCCGGAGATTCTGACCAACTCCTGAGGTGGAGCCTAAATAAGGGGTGGGGTTTACAGATTAAGGGGTGGATCTTAAACAGGAAGAGGTGGGACAAAATTTAGATAGGGGGGGCCCGATTTTAGTCTAGCCTTGGGCAGCACAAAACCAAAATACACCACTGCGTACAACTGTGCAAGACTGAAGAGAAGACTGACGGCTCTGAAGGACAATCTTAATAGTCACACTCCACCACATCATTACTCCATCATGGCTGCTTACTGGACCGACAACAAGTCCATTGTGTCATGCCTCAGAATTTGTCAGAACTGTAAAATTTTAAATGAATAATTAAAATAGAATACATATATAATAATCAACAACTAAATACACACATAAATACATGTTGGTGGCCTTGGAATTATTATCTTTTAGAAAGCTTTTCGAATCCCAACATGGTGCCATTGAATGTTATGCTTCAGAAAACTTTGGTTTCCCCAGCTGGCCTCTGGATGTGCACAGAGTTCTTGGCCCGAGGAAAATTCAATAAGTCAGCAGAATAATTGTTCAGGCTGGTACAATAGACAACAATCCGGTACTGTTTACTGCCTAAACTGAAGGATGGGTGAAGGTTTTGCTTTGTAACAATAAATAGCGGCCATTGTGCTGCACGTCAATCCAAAATGTTGGCTCTGATTGAGAGAGTAAAATAGTTTTTTACTATATATATCTAATTACAAGAACCAAATAAATAGAAAATGTGGGAAGGGTGGTCACAGCCCCCATGTGCACAACCATCCTGCTCCAATGTCCCAAGTCTGTAGAAGGATAAATCCGTTTTAATAAAATAGGCACAAGAGTAGTCCAGTTTTACATGCAGAAATCAGGATTTAATGTAAGTAGCTTTTATATTAACCTACGGATCTGGTCCAAGTTTTTATTTCAGAAGGAAAACAAAGGAATTGGAAGTTAAAGCCTTTGACTGGGCATCACAGACCCCTACCATATTATCTCCAGGTGTTGACATGGACATTTCAAGAAGGGGCCTCCTCCCATTGTCAGCTCCAATGCCATCTATAGGTAGTAACATGGGCTTCTGAAGAATGGTTCTCATCCCATCTCCCTTCCTATCCCATCCCATCCCATCTCTAGGTAGTCACATGGACATATGAAGAACGGTACTTCTCCCATCCCATGTCCAGATAGTGACATGGACATCTGAAGAAGGAGGTTCCTCCCATCCCAACTCCCATGCCATCTCTAGGTAGTGACATGGACATCTTAAGAAGGGCTCTCTTCCCATCCTCTATCCCCATCTCTATCTCCTGGAAATGTGCCCCCCCATCCCATTTCCAGGTAGTGACATTGATATCTAAAGAAGGGTCCTCCTCCCATCTCCCTTCCCATCCCATCTCCAGGTAGTGACATGGACAGTTGAAGAAGGGTCCTCCTTCCATCTCATCTCCAGCTAGTGACCTGAACACCTGAAGAAGAGTCTTCATGCCACCCCCCCCTCCCAATACCATCTCCAGGGAGTGACATGAACATCTCAAGAAGGGTCCTCCGCCCATACCGTTTCCCATTCCATCTCCAGGTAGTGACGTGGATCTGAAGAGTAGCCCTCCCCCCATAATATCTCCAGATACTGACATGGACATCTGAAGAAGGGTCTTCCTCCCATCCCATCCCGTCCCATCTCCATTTAATGACATGGACATTTGAAGAATAGTACATCTGAAGAATCCCTTCTATCCCATCTTGATGTATCTACATGGATATTTGAAGAAAAGACCTTCTCCCACCCCCTTCCCATCACATCTCCACTTGTAAAATGGGCATCGGAGAGCATCCGTCCTCCCATTCCATCTCCAGGTAGTGACATGGACATTTGAACAAAGGCTCCACTCCCATCCCACCTCCAGAGAGTGACATGGACATCTGATGAAGGACCCTCCTCTAACCCTGCCTTCCATTCAATCCCTAGGTAGTGACCCAGCACGTCAGATGACTATGGATTTAGGTTTAAGTATTTTGGGCTCTTAAATTAATTTAATATTAAAACAAACCTAGCAATTTTGAAATAATGATTTGAAGAGCTGGCTACTCATCTTCCCAATTATTCATCTTTATTATAGCCGTAAATTGTACAATAAAATGGCTTTACTTGTTTTGGCAATAAGCCCAACCATAGCCGAGAGTAATACTCAGCTTTTCAAATCTATTATTCTCAAGCTGTGACCGTGTTGGGAGGACACTCAAAGCCAGAGCACCGACAGTCTACCTCCGAGGGGAATATTACCTGGGGTTGGTAGGCTCTTTTCTTTTCACGGTTGTTTTCAAACCTAGCAATTAGTTAAACTGCCTAGAAGTTCAGCTTTAATCATGATGAAAACACTATAAAAAACACCATCGAATGTAATATTAATTGCATTTTATTGGTGGTGGCTTTTTCTTTTTGGTTGTATTATTTTACTGCTCTGCTGAGTAAAGATTTATATATATCAATTCCCATAGTCACCCTCCTAAAACCTTGTGGACGGCCTTCCCATGAAGAGTTGAAGCTGTTATAGCTCCCGGCCTCCCATGCCACCTTTCTCACCCTTCTCCCTCCTCAAAAACCGCGGGGGACATCTCCCGAATCCTGGCCCTTCCACCACACTTCCCTCAACCGCTCAAACACCCTTCCCACCTCCACGTCCCGCTGCAACGCCCCGCATCTTGTATCTAATCCCCCTGCTCCCTAAATTCTCCCCCCCCGTTTTCAAAATGCACTCCTGAACGCCCCCGGTTCGGTGTGCAACAAGCTTACCGCCATCCACAACCTCTTTGTTTCCCGCTCCCTCAACCTCCTAGCGATCACGAAACCTGGATCCAGCCACTGACTCTACCTCCCATGCTGCACTCTCCTACGGAGGTCTCACCTGGACCCACTCACCCAGGTCCATAACGGTCGTAAAGGTGGTGGGGTTGGTCTGCTCCTGTCACCCGCGAGTAGCACCTTCCGAGTCCTCCCAAAACCCCCCCTCCCTATCCTTCTCCTCCTTCGAGGCCCACTGCGTCCAACTATTCTCCCTCCAACCCCCCTGAAAGATTGCTGTGATATACCGGGCCTCCTGGGATCCATACCCCGCTTCCTGGTATGACTTCTCCTTTCTGGCTACCCTTCTTCCTCTCCTCTGAGCTACCCACCATCATCCTTGGGGATTTCAACATCCCTGTCAACCTCGACAACCCGGACACAGCCCGTCTCCTCCACTTAACCTCCTCCTTTGCACTTGCACAGTGCATACAATCAACCACTCCACTTCCAACGGGAATATATCCTTGGATCTCTTTGTCTTCTCCAACGCTGCCTGCGCTCCCCACAACCTCACACTAACACCCCCTTCCCTCTCCTCTGACCACAACCTGATCACGCTTCTCTATCGTCCTCGTCCTACAACGCCTACTACCCTCCAAATGTCACACTACTACCAGCCGTAACCTCCGCAACCTTAACCCTGCCCCCCTCCAATCTGCAGCTGATCAACTCCACGACCCGCATCCTCCCCCTGTCCTGCCCCGACTTGGCTATGACTGCCTACAACAACGCGCTCTCAACAGCCCTTGACTCACTAGCGCCTTTAACCACACGCAACATCAGACCCCGACTGCTCCAGCCCTGGCAAGACTGATCACACCAAAACCTCAAACGACACAGTCGTGCCCTGGAGGCGACTATGGCGCAAAACCAAATCCCAACAAGCCTTCACCCCCTACAAATCTGCCTTCCCACACCTACACCCTCCTCCCTCCACGCAGCCAAACAAGCCTACTTCTGACCCTCATCAAAGACCCTCTCCTCCAATCCTCGCCCCAACTCTTCTCCGCCTTCAACTCTTACTCTCTCAACCCCACTCCACACAGCACTCACTCATGCCCTTGAGATTGCC